AAGGTATGGAAAGTATGAGGACATTTTAAAGGCAAGGATCCTACAGGGAATATACATTATATACAGTATTACACGGAACCACAAGGCCACATTGATTTTTGGAACAACAATTTTAAGAGAAAAAAAAAATAATAGTCTACCCAAAGCTGCTCATCTTTGTAACCTCTGACTGTATGTTATTGGTTTTGCTTTGTATACAAATATCAGAGCTTTTAATTTCTGTAACATACAGTTGTTGCGGACATGGTGTGTTTGCTCTCCACTGCCATGCATGATGTAGTATAAGAGACTGCAGATGAAAATGAGCTTTAAAGATGTAATACGCCAAATGGTAACATTAATGTTTAAAATTGTACAAACGGGTCAATGTACTTAAAAAAAGAAAGACAATAACATATGCTCAGGTAGTTATGTCTGCAATTTAACAATGGCATAGCAGTTAAGTTAGCAGTCATTTGAATGAGGACTGAGCATACACATGATGAATATGAGCATCTGTTGTGAACCAGGATCTACCTCACTGTATCTATTAGCTTAAGTGTGGAATGTGACTGGAAGAAAAAAATATGGATTTAAAAAAAAGTCAAAATAAAAGTACTTTATGTGGCAAACAATTTGGGATGATCGCATTATGAAACTAATGTGTCTTTGCATAGAGAGAAGCAAGTTGATAACATTCAGGCGTCTGTAAAGAAAGCCCTTGGGCATCTGAGAGGCTAAAAACACATGAATAAATTGGGCAAAGAAAACCAACAAACATAGCCAGCCTCCCCGAGGACCTAATAATAAGAAATGTGATTTTTCATGAAATGTCAGATGCAGTAAAATCTCTGTTTTTTTAATATGTTCCTCTGCTGCCCTTTGCAAAACTCATTCTCAGTAAATGTTTGTATATTGACAAGGCATACATCTCTTCAAATTATACTCAATAGTAATCAATTAAACAAATCAGACATTGATAGATTTAGAAGAATGTGCACACAGTGGTGGATCCATATATGTATATATATATATAAGGTGACTTGAAAGGTTGTATTATAGATTTATGATTATCTATCTGTAATTTCTGTGTACATGTGTCTATACTATAACTATATGTGAGTAGAGCTTTTGTGAAACCGTATGTTATTCAAATGTTTTTCTCTATAAAATGTTTTTGAATCAACACGGAGCGTAGTTCCTGATATGCTTAATACATTTTGAAGCTGTGTAAAAAACCTTTAAAGCACATTTGATTGGTCTATTTAAAAAAAAAAAACAATACCATGGAAGATATACTCCACAAATCCATTTTGAAGACAACACAAATCTGGTGTTGGAGACATTGTGTGAAGCTTTCAACAGATTTCCATAACTATCGATAATAATCCTGACATTTAAAGAGAAACCGCATTTGCTCTTAAAGAACGCCAGCGCCCAGTATGAAAGGCATATTTGAGGTGAGCAAAAGGATATCTGCTGAAGAGGTTTACGGCACCCCAGTGAGCTGACAACAGCTACATTTAGTGTTGCTCTCATAGGAGGAGGATATCCCTGTGGTGAAGCTCAATGCTTAGACATTGTGGGATTTAAAAGAGAATCTGATGCCAGTGCCTGTCTGGATTTATTATTGAACAGAATAGAAATCCAACAAGTCTGTCAAAGCAAAACGATAAAACAGAAAATCAAGACTCACCTATTTGGAATATCTAGCTGATTGTGGTAAGGAGATAAAACACATTTTTATCTTAATATTCTGACTATTTTTGTTCTAATTTAGATCATTTAAACAAGCCATATAAGACAGGAAAAACATCTCCTATACAACTTCCAACTTTCCATCTTTATTTATTCAGGGGAGTTGCACTGAGGGCGATGCTCTCTTTTGTAGAAAAAACCCTGATCCCATTCACACAGTAACACATTCAGACCTGAACGCTTCCCAGTACAACCACAGCCTGATCTGTTATGGGCCTTGCTCAAGGGCACCTCAGTGGTGGTAATGAGGGAGGATGACTGAGGCAGTGTGTGTTTGCACTATGTGCTCTGTTGGACAAAGTTGGCAGTGTTAATGATAGTAACTCAAATAAAAGTTAATGTTATCCTGACTCTTTTCCTTGACTCCCTATATTACCAGAGACAACATAGTAGTAATGTGTGTGTGTGGAATAATTATTTAAATAAGTGTAAGCAGCGGTTGATTGGCTGAAAGAATGTTGGCGGCAGACGGTCTTTCACTTAACTAATGGGGAATACAACCAACAAGAACTAGCTGCACCCAAATGGTAATGAACAGGGATTCAATGTAATATTATTCATGATCTCCTCTTGTTTGAATGTTTTACTCATCCCATGGCTGAAAGAGGTTTTTCTCAACATCATTTTATTTCATTTTGTGAATCAATTTGACTTAATATACTGTATCAAACATCTTATGTGTTTGGATTGTCTATTGGAATATTGCTATTCATGATTCGTTACAGCTTCCCTTGTCTCTGGTGTTTCTTATTAAAGGCAATACTGAAGAAAATGTAATTATGTATACACTCTCAGGCCTATATTCTTGTAATTAATCTTTCATACTGTGCAACAACTTCAAACAACACTGCAAATTACACCATTCAAACGCTGTATTAAATCAAATGAAAACCACCTTTTATCTGTTTTTACCAATCAGAGGGTCGATAAGAGGCCATGAAGACCTACCATACCAGATCATTTGTAAACGAAAATCCATGCAACCTGGGACTTGCCCAAAGCCCAGTTCCACACCTACACTGAGCTGCTGGCTGCTGCTTGGTCCTGGCGGGGAATGTGGCAGGGGCGGGAGGTTGTTTTTGGTCCCGATTCATTCAGAGAAGGCCAGACAGTGACATTATGCCAGCCAGGCAGGACCCAAGGGACAGCCATGTTAAATACCATCTCTTGCAGTGCAAATGGCAGGGAGTTTGTTGTGGTGTTTGGGGGTATGCGTTTGTTTGCGTGCCTTGGTGTGCAATGACATTTTTTGTGGTTGTGAGGGCCTGTTCTTGTGCATATCTATGCCTCATACTGCCTTGTGCATAAATGCATGCACACACACACACAGGCCCAGCAACCACAAACACATACTGACAGTACACTGGCAGAGAGACTGCTGTGCGCAGATCACATTAGAAGAAAAGGAAAAACAGGCCAACTGCCTAATTATCCATCAGCGATGCAACATGACTGAGATAAACATAAACAACCATCTCTGCAGAGGTTTGGTACATTCAGGTGGAGGGTAAAAGAGAAAGCCGGAGAAGAAAACAGAGACATGGGGCTCATTTATCCAACAATATTCACAAACAAGGAATGATTTGTTCATGGTCTTGTTGATACAGTACACTTTAAATGCTGTGTTGTTTTCAAAACAGAAGATGGTTTGGGGCAATATATGCAAAACTACCAAAAGGATCCTGCAAACCTAAGCTGTTCTGTGGCAGAGCTCTGAGACACGGAGCAGGCGAGAAGAGAGAGTGATACAAACATGTCTTGTTCAAAAATAAGAAATGTTGATACTTTTCAGGGATGACAGTTGAACATCTTGTAGAGGCTCAAAATACTGGAAGAATAAAAATACTTATTTCTCTTACAAAACGTGAGACTTAACGGGCGGAGGGAATCAGCAAAAGGAGCTGCATTAAAGTTCCAATATGCATTTATGAGCCTGTAAGTCTTGGGAATTTCTCAGAGGTGAAGTAAATAATGTTTTCATCATTACTGAAACTCATTTATCTAGGAATGAATGCTCAGCCCTGCAGTTTCATCATGTTGACAAGTGAATCCAAGACACCAGAAGAGACCTGTTTTAATAGCCTTACACAAATCCACATGGTACGAATACTGATTTTGAGTAATAACAACATATTTCGCTCTCAGATGTTTCTGAAAGTTGACTACCGTGCCATACATTTAAAGCAGGCAACAGGGTAGCAGAATCTGTGAGCTTCAGAATAAATCACATTCTAATTCTCTATCCTTACCTATACTTCCCATTTGTTCCTATATGCAGTACATACACACTCTCAAAAGGAGATATCCACCTTAGACAAGGGGTCTATACTTAATAAATAAAGAGACAGTCAGTCAAACTTTTGGTAGACGGGGAGCTAGTGACAGGGTGTCAGAGACCTGCTGACTGTAGGAGAATGTTAACGAGAAGGAACAACTCCCATTGGTTACTCACTGACTCTGTCAGGCTATGAGACTTTTGAACCATGCCCTCTCAGATGCAACGTCTAGTCAGTTTCAACCGTGGTCCACCGATCTGCCACATTTTCCAGAAGCAGAGTATTACTGTAGTTTCTGTTGGACTTTGTCCTATTATATTGAACTGTTCAAGCTTCTGACTTAACCATGCCGTTGATCAAGCCATAAATGATACGTATTGTGCCATTCAAAATGCCCTAGTGCAGTGGTGATGCTTAACTTACAATAGCCCAGACCACAGCAGTAGCGACAGGGTTAGCAATGGGGTTAGACTGAGATCATGGTTTATATTCCATGAAGAAAAGGCTAGTTTCATGTAGATTGCACTGTTACAAAATAGCCGGTAAATACCCCAAGCCGTGTCTGACTGTGGAAACTAGGGACTTTCAATTGAATTTCTTCAGCAAATGTTCCCATTATAAAACTGTGAAGCTGACAGTGCTGTCAACTTGAGGCAACATTTCAACAGCAATTTGGTTTAAAGTCAAGCTCAATAACTAAAATGTACAATTGTATTTTTTATATATGTCTACTCTATGCAATTAGTTTGTTTTTATGTCTTTTACTGGTATCTGTATTCTGTTACATTTGCTGTGAAATGTCTATGTGAAGCACTTTGGACTACACTTGTTGTATGAAAGGTGCTATATAAATAAAGATTATTATTATAAATTAATAAAAAAATACCTTTAAAAATAGAACACTTTCAAGGTCACCATCAGACTTTACAGCAGTTCTTCTGCTGCTACAAGACTGTAAAATACTGCAATTTAATTGTATAAATGTACCTAGTCTGAAGGAGAGAGGGCCACCAGCGGTGCTTCTCACCCACATGGCTAAGAAGAGCAGAAGCGCCCAGGCTGTGAGCATCTTCTATGACTCCTCATGGGTCCTGCCCCGGGGGTGCCCCTGTCACAGCCACCTGAAGGAAGCACAAAGCAGAGTACAGCATTAACACTTTAACTGACATGAAGAGGGACACACAAAAGTCAAAGCTGTGCACCAGACGGATAAAACTGACGGACACTCAGTTTCTCTCGCTCCCTCAAAGTCTGTCTATCTCTCTTGTTGCATGCTGGGAATCTGATAGTTAGAGTGTGAGACTGCTGGTAAGTACATCTGAGGCCCAAAGGAGAGTTAAAGGTCCCATGTCATGCTTTTCCGGTTATTACCCGTCCCCTTGTGTGTTATGACAGTTTTTATGCATGTAAACGGTCTGCAGAGTCAAAAACCCTCAAAGTACACCCTGTAGCGAGTAAAACTCTAACACAGAAAATACCTGTCTATGCTGCCCCAGAACGCCTCGTTGGAGATTTCTCTTTTTACATTTGTTTCTTCCGGGAACCAAAATGGACCAATCCGCGGAGCTCCTCACACACCAGGATCCCTTGGCGTCACTATCAAACGCAGTGGGGGGACATTTAGCGTAAATGTTCAACTAACAGGGAGTCCCATTGACTTACATAGAGCTCCCTGGTTGGTAATAGACGAGTTGGGATCGCGGAGAAATGCTCTCCGCAGACCCATTCTCACAGCGTTATAAACCTTTTTCTTACTCAATATCAAGCCACACTTATTGTTTTTACTTCGGCTGTGAGTGTTTGTGTGTGCTCAGGATGAGTTTCGCACTGTCTCGCTGTATCGCCAACCCGGAAACCACACCAGTAAGCCAGCTCACTGAGCAGCGAGCCTCGTAACATCCCGACCAATCAGAGCACACTGGGCTCACAGGGAGGGTAGGAGGGGGCAGGAGCTCCAACAAGCCGTTTAGGACAGAGAGTGAATACCGGTGAATACACATACTTTACAGAGATGCTGTATGAGAAACCAATGTGAGTTTGGAAAATTGCACAGTATAAATCTATTTTAGTATACCTCAACAATGGAATGGCCATTTCTACTGATCATAATTCCATATTGTAAGAAAGGTTGCTGTTTTTTCTTTATTATTAATGGTAGTGTTTTTATATGTTGCTGTGTATTGTTTTTGTTTGGACAAAACATCCAATACTTCCTGCTTTCTGCTTGCATTAGTCTTCAAATATCAAACTGGTAAAATCCTAGCCACAAACTGCTTTTCCAAACTTTAAAGGCATCATTGTCATAGTGTATAAATGTAAGTAGAAAAATGAAATTCTTCCATGCATGAAGCGCATGAACTTCTCACGCTTTTAAGCTCCGATGCCTCTTTTAACGCTTGGGCGAAGGCTGTCCATGACAACCTGTCATGTGTCTGTCATGAACGATTAATTAAGTGTTTTACTCTAAAATAGGTTGTTCCCTGTGCCATTTCCCCATGTACTTCTTTCTTCTTTGCTTTTCTAGTGAAGGCTATTCACTTCAGTTAATGTATCATTTTTTTGTTTAGCTTCTTTGTGTGTGTCCTTCTGAGTTAATCATGTGTTTTCAGTCTCATATTTACACAGGCACAAGATTGCAAAATTGTGGGTTTTTTTTATTGGTGGTTGACAAAAAAGGTCAAACCTGACTGGACAAATGCTTGATGGTGGTTCATATCTGGTTGCCAAAGGCAGCAGGGCAACATTTGTTGAGCTCTGTTTCCAATTTGACACTGTTTCCAGAACATCTGATGTTTTGCTCTTCATGTCACTTCTGTTGAAAGGGCATCCAAGGCTTACATCAGCTAAAATGCCAAAATCACAGTAGCTGAAGGTATTACCATGATATTGTGTGCCATGTGTCAACATTGTGTTCCCTGTGATTCTTATTTTGTGGTTTGAACTCACTCCTACTGGTTTAGGAACACAATGATTTAGCAGTAATGTGTGGAAGGGAAAATATAAAAGAGCAGTAGTTGCAGAGAAGATAAATCAGAAAGTTGGTTTTAGTTCTCTTTCAAGATACCGACACAGTAAGGAGCATAAATAGGTACCTTGGGGCCTTTAAAGTAGAGTACATAATGTTCTAAGCCAGGGGAACAGTTTAATTGGAGGTGAAGCTAGGTCTGTATTTTTCAAAGATTTCCTAATGAGCCCTCATGACACGCATTTAAACCAGTGAAGGGTGAGTGAAACTTATTTATAATAATTTTGTCCGTGTTCAGAATAATTGCTCCATCTATTAACCTGGACCCACACCGCAGAATTGTTTCATTTATTGCTTAATTGAAAACATGGAAATTGAGTCATCCAGCGCTGATTTGGTAGCAGCTGTTATTACCTCTCCAAGCTGCTACAACATGCATATTCAATAGTTTCCCCCCCATTAAATGAAGGTAGATTCTGAATTACACAGCAGATAAAAAGAAAATGTATTTATATTGGTATAATAATAATAATAATAATAATAATGATACATTTCATTTATATAGCACTTTTTTAAGTACTCAACGTCGCTTTAAAAGAATACAATTCACACAACAAACGAAGATTTAGTTATCTTTGATACGGTGGCCAACTTCCAAGATAGCATGCCACAAATGTGTGCCTTATTGAGCTAATCTATAGATTTATACTGTAACTAAAACACATCTAAATTTGCACAGTTAACAAAAAACTTCCCATCTATTTTGAAAAAAATTATGCAAGGTTCAATGCCAGATTGAATTACATTGGTTTAAAGCAGCTACAATCAATATTTGACGTATTGTGGTTAGGTCTTTTGGTTAATTCTAATTGCTTTTAAAAGGTAATTTTCCCCTGCAGGAGGAGGCTGTTCTCATAAAAAAGCTCTTAAAACGCTACACATTACTTACCGAGCACAAAATAGACAGACACAGTTAGAAACTAACTGGTGAACATGGTGGACAACTTAGCAGCTAAATAGCAAAGTACTTCAATAAGGAGTTGATAGAGACCACAAACAAATCTGAAAACAATTCACAACATGCCATCATTTATTTCCCAACACGATATTGTGTAAAAAAAAAAAACATTTTTCTAAGGGTATTTATAGTCTTATTTTGAATCATTGCAGTGCCTTGAAATTATTCTTGGATGCTTGATCAAATATGTATCTTTTTATCAAGGTTCGGCTTTGGTATTTAATCTTTATTAAAGGTATGAAAGGAGTGGGTGGTTCTGATAACCAAAGAAAGAAGGCATGCTGACTTCTTGTCAGTGCTTATATTACAGAGAATAAACAGTTTTTTGTCTTTCTATAGAGAGGTTAGTGAATATTGTTGGAGCTGTGAGGACTTTACCTTGGACAGGACAAACAAAGAGTCTGCAAGATTGGTGCAGCTACACCAGGGTTGCCAACTCTCACGCATCTGGCGTGTGACACACGCTTTCACTCTCACGCTCTCACGCTGCCCAAACTATTCTCACGCCAAAAACAAGATGAACCGGCGATCGTTTTTGGTTGGTTATTTACAATGTTGAGTTGACAGCTGCTCAAGCTGTCGATCCGCTCTCTCCCCGCCCCCACCACTCTTAACAACGTCAACAGACAGCAGAGCAGTGGAAGCCGACACGTATTGCGCATGCGCAGATCTAAGATCCAGTAGAAATGATAACAAAGTAAAAGTCTGTTGCTTATTGTTCTACTCGGCCAAAATAGAGTCAAAGAGTATATGAGAGTGAGAGTGTGTTAATTAATATATTTGGCAGTTTGGAGTAAGTCTGTAGATTTGTTTGGCTGCGTGTGTTTCATGTATAGGCCTCTCACGATAATTAATTTTGTTGGATACATTTTCCCGGAAATTATTGCGATAAACGATAATATTGTCGGCACCGTTGTATGACCATTTTAGACCACTGACCAGAGGTCGCGTTAACCGAATATTTTTTTTAACAATGATGGAAAAATCTGAAAGCAGTCCATCATTTTTGACGGATTAGAACAAACTTGGAACGGCGCCAAAGTTTTCCCGCAGCGAGGCTCCGGTGTTAAGCATGCCTGCCAAAAAGGAAATGATACCGTTTCCAAACCCAACTTTGCCCTACAAATCATTAAAATGTCTGTGAGTTTTGGCTTTACGCTGTGCGCACTCCCGCGAGGTGCAGTGGGCATGCATAACACGGCACTAACAGTTCACAAGCGTGCGCCCCGCCCCCCGTTGACGGTTCACGACTGTGCTCTCCCCCCCCCCCCACACACCCCCGTTGACAGTTCATGACCGTGCTCTCCCCCCCCCCCCCAGAGTGTAAAGGCCGAAGGGTAATACTGAATTTTGACGGAAATGTTACGATCCTGTCCGTCAAAATCACGGGCAGTGAAAAAGTCTAGCGCAACCTCTGCCACTGACATAATGATAATAATATAATAATAATTCAGTACATCCTTTCAAACTGCTAGTCACATCCTCATGTAAATGGCAATTTATCGAGGTTAGAAAAGTTATCGAGTTTATTTTTATTTATCGTACGATAAGTCAATTAATTGCTTATCGCGACAGGCCTATGCACACAATAAAACAGTGGAAACCAACATGTGTTTGACTTTCATTACTGAATGAAACGTTGTGCCCTTTATAGTCTGTGTCCAATATTGTGTATTTGTATATATTGTATATATATATAGGCTATCCTATATATGCTAAGGTCCCGCTACTGACACGATAGCAGTCATTTAGTGCGCATATGTGTATAATTAAACCCATGATATCAAAATCTCACTCCAGCCAGGTACCCAAAGTTGGCAACCCTGAGCTACACTCAATAGACCAGGGGCCTCATTTATAACGCCGTGCGTAGGATTCACGTGGGAAGGTTGCTTACGTAGTAGAAATCCAAAAAATAGGTACAGACATTTTCCGACATTTTCCGATTCACCAAACATTGCGTACCGGTGAGGAAAGTGCGTACAGCACTTACTACGCCGGTTTCCCTTTATAAATCACAATCGACTCAAAATGCGGTGCAGCTTTTGCGGGCTTCACGTAACGCCCATATTTGCCTATAAATAGTCAAAGAAACGCCCATTCATTCATTCATTCTGACTGACTTTATGAAGAAGATA